AAAAAAAAAAAAAAAAAAAAAGACAAAAAGAAACAAAGAAAGAACACGTGAAACACATATACATAAGCCAAACCCATAAAAACTCAAATCTGGAAACCACACTATGCAAACAAAAGACCAGTAAGGTTTAAAAAAGCATGATCAAGCAAAGCAACATGAAATAAACAAACAAAACCCCACAGAAATACTGTTGAGTTCTTTGGTGTTGGCCATCTACTGCTGGGCAAGGGTCTGGTCCTAAGTGTGGTTTGTGTACTCGGTGAGATTCTTGGAGAAACTAATTTTCCCTCTGCAAGTGGTTGTCAGTGGGAGGTGGCTTCTGGGTTGGGGATGGGCGCTTGTGTCTGTTTCCCCTCTCAGCACTGGAACCCCATCTATTTGGATCTGTGCAGGCCCTGTGCCTGCTGCCACAGTCTCTGGGTTGGTATGTGTGGTATTCCTGCTGTGTTTGGCAGACACCATTTCCCACTGTCATCCATCCTCTCTGTCTCTCAAACATTCACTCCACCTTCTCTTCTGAATAGTTCCCTGAGCCATGAAGAGGGGTTCACGAAGACACCCCATTTAGGACTAAGAGTTCCAAGGTCTCACACTGTCTGTACGAGGTTCAGTTGTGGAGCTCTGTATTAGCTCCTGTCTATTGACCGTAGATGGATGATGACTGGTCTGAGTCCAGGTCTGGTGAGGCTACTGAGGATCCCAGGTAGAAAGTATTTCTAGGTACAGGCAGCTGACACAAAGGCTATTAATATTTCTTAGTCTATTGTATGTGTATGAGTGCTTGCCTGAATGCTTGTCTATGAACCACATGTGTGCCTGGAGGTCAGAAAAGGGCATTGGATCCCCTGGAACTAGAGTTAGAGATGACCGTGGGCCACCATGTGCATGCTGGGAATTGAACCTGGGTCCTCTGGAAGAGCAGCCAGTGCTCTTAACCACTGAATCATCTCTCCAACTCCTATTTCATTCTATTAAATTGTGTGTGTGTGTGTGTGTGTGTGTGTTCTGTGTGGCTATGTGCAGGTAAGAGCCAGAGGTATTGGATTCCCCTAGAGCTGGAGTTCCAGGTAGAGAGATACAGAACATGGAAATCGAACTTGAGTCTTCTAAAAGAACAGTACATGCTCTTAACCACTGAGCCACCTCTCCAGCCATAAGACTTCTTTGGAAGAAAGCCTTCTTATGTTTTTCTATTTAGTTTGTCAATAGTATGTACTTTCTTTCTAACTAGTTCCAGTCCCACACCTGCATGTGTGGGTATTTTGTAAACAGTGTAGAATACATTTTTTTAAAAAGACACTTTTATTCTTAAAGTATGTGATTCTGACATGTTTTTTTTAAAAAAATCGGAAAAAAAACTAAAGAGTAAGTAATGAAAACAGGTCTCCTTTCTCCAGCTCTCCGGTTTCCAGGGTGACAGACAGTGTGGCTGTGTTATCAGAGGGGGTCATTATGAAGATAAGCGAGTCTGTTCTGTGTATTTATTCTCTGTGTGGTGATGATTTAGTCACTGTTGCGCACCCGGCTCCTTTGCCTTGGAGATCGATCCGCAACTGCACCCCAGAGCGTCCTCATTGTTCGGAGCGAGCGCGTATTCGTTTACTTTGTGACTGTGTCCGAATCTCTGTCCTGCCTCCCAACAACACTGGACTTTTAGGTAGTTTCCAATCTTCTCTTTTCACCAACTCGGTGGCGGTGAATAATCTCACAGAAGCGTTATTGAGATTTGTGCAAAGGCGGCACCTCCAGGAAGCAGGTCTCGAAGTGGGATGGATGGGACAAAGAGCTTGGGATTTTCTAACTGACTGGTATGCAAATTTCTGGTTTTCCAGCTTCCTCACCTTCTCAGCCAGGGGCCCCCAGTGGACAAAAAGCCACAGAGGGGATTATCTCAAATACGGAACCAATTAAGGAACTAATGCTGAAGAGCTAAGGAAGTCAAATGTGGGGGTTGGGAGAGAGAGCCTGGGGCCTTACTTAGGCAGAAGAGCCAAGGGAAGGCCCCAGGAGCCAGGGTCAGGGAGGCAGGTAGCTAGGCCTCCCAGGCCAGGGCCTCAGGAGCAGGGTAGGGAGGCCAGGAGAAAGCTGAAGAACGCTGTGCCGGAAGCTAGCCTGAGCCAGGGAGGGAGGAGAACGCTTGGTTCCACCCCTTCCGTTTTCTGCCAGAGCATCCCTGGAAGAGTGGCTGGTCCTTGCTCTTCACCAGTGATCAGTTTGCCTTCCTTCCAAAGGGTGTTTGTTTTCAACAAGATGGGAAGCTAAACTAAGACAAGATCCTGGAATCCAAATCTCTGCCTCTCCTGTGCTCGGCACCTCGTCTCCCCCCCCCCCCATCCCCTTCCCTTTCCTCTTCTCCTCTCTCCCTTCCGCTTTGAGACAAGGTCTCATGTAGCCCGGCTCTACCCTTCCTTCCTTCCCTTACTCTCTCTCTCCTCTTTTCCTTCATTTTCTTCTTCTCCTCTTCTCCTGTCTCCATCTTGCTCCTCCTCTCCTCCCTCCTCCCCCTCCCTTCTTCCTCCATCTTTCCTTTCTTCCTCTTTCCTTTCCTTCCTTCCTCCTTTTCCTTCATTTTTTTTTTCCTGAGAGGGCGTCTTCATATAGTAGCCCAGGCTAACCTTGAACTCCGTCTCCGAGTCTCTTGCTTCAGCCTGTGTGATGTCTAGACCACCTATCTGGTCTATACCACCAGTTTCAGCTTTTCCTTTAGACTTCCAGGACCTTACCGTGACATCTGGTGACCTCCAGGTAAGATCACAGTATACCACTCGTCACCTTATTCTCTGGTCCTGTGTGTCAGCTCGCACAGAATACACAACTTGCTCTGAGATTTTGCTTACAGGAGAGCAGAGTGTTGCTTTCATTAAGTGTAGGACTAGCCTCAGGTGTTGAGGTCAGTTGTGAGTTCTAGCCAGAGCAGGAAAATGTATAAAGGAGACTCACATCCTGTGAGAAGACCCCACTTAGCTCACGACTTTCCTGACCCATTCCTCCTGCCCCACCTGTTAAAAAGCCTTTTGCAACATGAAGTCCCCTAAGGTGGAGCCTGGAGGGGGATCATCCCCTCGGCTTCCCAAGACCAGCCATTAATTCGGTTTCTTTCCCTTCCACTACTTCTCACCTCCTGTGAGCCGGCTTCTAAGTGATGAGCTGTGAGACCTGGGCCAGTGACCTCCCACTTCCGGATTCCCCTTAGGAAATGTGACTGCCCATGATCCAAACCAATACCCAGGGAGATGGGGAAGATACCCGAGCAAGGGGAAGGGGGACGTGGAGGACAACAGCATACTCAAATGACATCTGATCTTCAGCTCCATTCTCCTACATAGCCTTAAGTTCCACACAAAAATGATGGCCGTGCTTCTGTCTAGCAAAGTGCAACTGTATGTATAGCAAACCCTTTCCCCAAAATGGATGCTAACCAAGTGCTCCGATCACCACAAACATCTCCCCCTTGAGATCCGAGTGTCATTCTCCTGTTCGTAAATTTAAGTACCCACGGACATGAGCCTCTCTTACACAAATTTTTCAGGGGATGAGAAAGAAGGAAAGAGAAATAATTGGTTAGTTAAATTGGTTGAAAGCCAAGGGCAGCTAGCCACTCACTCCTTGTGCCCACGACTAGCCGTGAGGCTTTGGTTGATAATTACCGCTTCCTTCTGCCTCTGATCATTCGCTGTCGTCCTTGCTCTCAATGGCTGCTTACCTGGTAAACTGATTCAAATCTTTAGATCCAAAGGATCTGACTTCTTAATAGTCTTAGATTTGGGGAATAGAGTGCTTTCCAAGATTTTTTATTATTAGATCACCACGGCTGTCCCTCTAGAGGAGACTAGCCATATACATGTTATATTCTATGCTATACCTTCCCCAAATTCCTGGCACGTCACAGCCCCAAGGTAAGGATTAGCTTCCTCCATTCCTGCTTTTCAGTCTATCTAATACCTTCACTCCCTGCTACACTAAGACTCTGTCTTAGGGTTTCTGTTGCTGTGAAGAGACACCATGACCATGGCAACTCTTGTAATGGAAAACATTTCACTGAGGCCGGCTTACAATTCAGAGGTTTAGTCCATTATCTTCATGGCGGGAGGCATAGCGGCACATAGGCAGACTTGGTGCTGGAGAAGGACCCGAGAGTCCTACATCCCAAATGGCAGGCAGCGGGAAGAGAGAGTGCCGCACTGGGCCTGGCTGGATCATCTGAGACCTCAAAGGCCACTGCCACAATGACACATTCTTCTAACGAAGCCACAGCTACTCCAGCAAGGCCACACCTCTGAATAGTGCCACTCCCTGGTGACCAAGCTTTCTGACACCCGAGTCTGTGGGGCCCAGTCCTCTTCAAATCACTCTAGGGGTCTGCACACCTCCACGTTTGTCCTCTGATGAGGGTCTCATCCTCGCTCCCTCACCTCTCCCAGCCTTTGGTCCAGGCCTCAAGAAACTCTCTCTTGTCAGAGGGCTTTCTTCCATGCCTTGCGGGTTGTTTGGAGGCCTCCTGCTCTCTAACAGATTTACACCTCTCGTGATTCTCCATCCTTAGAGCTTGAATGGACAGCAAAACAAAGACAAGGCCACAGACCTCATGTGGCCTGACCTGTGGCCAGCATTGTTCTGACACCTTTAGATGTATCAACTTACTTGGTAGCTCATCTTTTGACTCCTCTTTACTGTTCCCCCCTTATTTATTTATTTATTGTTTGACACCCCCCCTTTTTTTTTTTTAAATAAAGAGTCTATTTTTAATTTCAGTTATATGTTGCCTGCATATGGGTTCATACATGTTTGTGCAGGTGCCCACGGAGGCCACAGGTGTTAGGTCCCCTGGAGCTAGGAATACAAGCAGTTGTGAGCATCCTCCATGTCATACCGGGCATCAAACTCAGATCCTTGAGAGAGGAGTACATTCTGCTAACTGCTGTCTAGTCCTAAAGTTCTTTTCATAGTAAGCCAACATTTTAAGTGCAACACTTTAATTTTAATTTTCTTCCATATTTGCGCTTTATAAATGTTTTATTGACCTTGTCAGTGTTTCCTTTAAGGATTGCTTAATAGTGATGCTTCATCTGGCACAATGTACTTCTAGGGAATACTGAATTCTGATGAAAACGTAACAACCTAAAATCAACGGCAAGAATATGACAACATTGTTCCAGCCTGTCCCCACCACCTCTTCCCTTGTGCCGTTTCTGTCGAGATATTAGCATAGTAATACATACTGTCATTACTTCCTTACAGATATTGTTTTTACAAAATAATACTGAAGGGTAAAAGAAACTCCATTGGTGTAGCTTGCTGACAACTGGCAGAGGTGGGATTCTAACCTGTGACTTTTTTTGACAGGGCTTGAGACCTTTCTAGCTCCTTCCCTGGTGCTACCAAAGGGCCAATTTGGTTGTTTCGGTAGGAACAAATTGTTCAAATGTGCCATGACAAATACCAGAGGGGAGTTGATCTGCTTCCCCAATCTCCCTCCCCTTCTCTGGCGTTCAGAATGTCCACAGTGATAAGATACCTTTCCCTGCTCCTTCTCCCTCCCCCTTTTCATCTTTTCCTATTATCTGCAGACTCACTAGTTCTCTATCTCTTACCTGTGGACGACACTCAGGATCCTGCTGGCCAAGCATGATGTGAGCAGTCAACATCTCCAGTGTTGTTCTTGTTTGAAATGACTTCACCGTGCTGGGATGGGCACCTTTCGTTTTAGGGTGCATTTTGATCTCATTGAAGGGTTGGCAGTAGGGTCCTCTCCTCCGAGAACATTTCCTTGTTTGTGTAAAATGGTGAGAACTTAAAAACCAGTAAGCCTTGTGGCTAGACTGTGACTATATGTTTATTCATTTGCTAGTATGTTCCCTATCTGTTATGGATCAGGTACTGTGCCAGCCACTGGGTGCCAGATAAATGAGAAAACACTGTTCACAGGGGCCCTTGGATATGCTGGGTTTTTATTCTGGCCCCATCATTTATGACTGCTACATCCTCTTCCCTCCGTGCTCTGGACAAGGTCTGAGAGTCTCTGACACACCAGGGAATCATCACCAGTCAATTAGAAATCACTCTTAGGATGGGGAGTGCTGACTCTTCCGGTCTATCTCTTTATCTTTTAATTGGGAACCCAGGCTCTGTCCAGCAGCAGATGTTAGCATATTGGCTTTTGCTGAATCTGCAGCAGCAGATAACATGGGGAATGATAATGACCTTGTATTCTGTATTCCTTGGATTTCGACTGCTTCATCTGTTTTCTGTTGCTATGAGAACATACCACAGATCAGGTTTTGGGTTTTTTTTTTTAATTGAAAATAGATTTTTTTTTCATACAATGTATTCTCATTACATTTCTCTTCCTTCAACTCCTGGATCCTTTCCACCTCCCCGCCCACTCATTAGAAAACAAATAGGCATCTAATAATAATAATAATAATAATAATAATAACATAAAATAAAATAAGATAAAATAAAAACAAACAAACCAGATTAGGACAAAACAAACAAACAGAAAAAAAAAAAAAGAGCCAAAGAAATACCAAAAGAAACACATATAAATGTAGAGACACACACATTTGCATATACAAAAATACCATGAAAACACAAAATCGGGAACCATAATACATAAGCAAAAGACCTATAAGGGCATAAATAAATAAATAAACAGAAACTTCAGACAAAGCATTATTGTGGCAGGGCATGACAGTGCACAGGTTCCTCCATCTTGTATTCTTGCTGAGGCCATTTCAGGTTTAACTAGAATTTGATGTCCTTGATAGAAAATCCCATAGAAAATTACCCAACTCTGTTCTAGGAACCT